CACCAGTAAAGCCTCAAAGAGTCGATTTTTTGTTGAAAATTCTTTCATAGGATACTTTAGAGAGCTTCATAACACGACCTGCATCTGTCGCAAGCGCCTTTTCGTGACAGTTCGGAGCCACGCTGGTGTAAGACGAACTAGGTGGAAACAGGTGCTGCATTTGGCACCAAACTGTACCAAATAGCGCCACCGTCACTATGATCGTCATTTTCGTTTTGGAGGCACTGAATTATACCTATTGGCAAAGCTTTAATAACAAAACAATTATGAGATTTTGAGACTGTAACAGTCGCTAAATATTGGTGAATTTTGTTATTGTAAGGCCCTAATAGACGCATACACATACACATCACAGTGCAATGAGTGCCTCTGTAGATCCAAGCGGAGAATTCCAAATGTGCCACAGCTCTCAACTACGTCTTAATCGGATCTATGATCCTCACGTTATGGTGAGACAGCGAGGAGTCAATCCCATGATACTTCAAGTTGTTTTTGTACGCTCATAAACTTCCCCCATTTCTCACGTTTTTGATGACAAACCGAGACAGCCTTCAGATTCATGGTTCTTGCGTTAAAGCAACAATCCCAGGACGAATTTGCGATGGTAAAACCGTTGATAATGTAGTTATAGCGACAATTTGACCGATAGTGACGAAAAAACCAAAGAAAAACGCCGAACAGGGCTTTAAACAGGGACTCCCCCTCTGCCGCTTAGCGATGAGGGAAGACGCGTGTTGGACGAGTTGTCTGAACTTGCCCGCACTAAATGCGCTCCAGTTGCATAACACTAACATAATTACATAACACTATACATAACATAACAACATTACAACAACAAAAAACAAACAATTCCAGTGCAACTGGCAGGATTACATTGGTTGGTTTAAAGAACATAGTTTAATACGTTGACGACAGCCCCTTATGCGTGTACCTTGGCAACTTTTTGTTTATTTTTTTCACAATCGTCATAACTTCTTCAATAATTCCACTACTGGTAATTGACTGCACAGTTTTTCGGATAAGATACGCATGCACACAGTTTTGAAATATGAAAAAGGCCAAATAAACCATAAAAAACTAGCCAGAATCGGGTAAAATTCTGACGCGCATGCGCGTCATGCTGTCGTCAACGTGTTAAGTACTTTCTGTGGTCCCAAAACGAGCACGAATGCCTCCGCAGCCAATCACGGCTGGCAAGTGGGCGGTCCCGAAGAATTTCCAACCACACCCATTTTTGAGGAGTTTCAACGCCCTTTTTGGGCTTTTCCCAGGTGAGTTTTCTTTATAACTACACTTCATATGTTCTCCAATAGGGCCTGCACAGAGTCAACCCTGCGTTGCGCAGTTCGCAACGGCACGTTGAGAGATCCTCAACGCACGCTGTATGGGCGGAGACACAGACGGCTCGAGCATGCGAGTGTGAATGTTCGCGCGAGAGAACGTGTCTAATCGGGCGAAACTGCGCAACGTGGCCGTTGAGAACTGCGCAACGCAGGGTTGACTCTGCTGTGCATCCTTTAGTGCCATTAGTATTGGAAGCAACAGACCCCGCTAGGACTGTTGCTTTAACTCGCCGGACAATAAAAGTCAGATTGCCGACATCAAAAGAAAGACGCATTACTACCCAAAACGCAGCCACAACTTCATATGTCAGTTAAGTGCTATCTAGTGGAATAGTGGAAAGTGGAATGTTAAGAGCAATTCATAACTAAGTCTGAAATATATGCCTGGTTGGTTTCCTCATCTTCTCCACTGATGTTCAGTGATAAGGTGTTTAATCCACGAAAATGACCACATTGCTTTGATAAAACTTTCCTGAAAGAGGAAACCAACCAGGCATACATTTCAGACTTACTATGAATTGCTCTTAACATTCCACTAGTTTTTCAGTGAAACGGCTGTAAAAAATGGGAGATTGCTTGACCTTCGAGTTATGGCGACAAAAACAAATCTGGGGGAGCGCCACGACTTGATGGGAAGCCTAATAGCGAAATGCTTAGAAGAGGTCGTGACAAAGTTGATGGTACATCATTGATTGATTTCTCCGAAGGGAAAATAAAGTTAGAGCTAGTTGTCGGTTTGGTCAATTTTTGTCGGCGGGACCTCCCATTTCGCAGGCCTAAATTTGAAAACCCTGGAACAGAG